AAAATTTGCATGCTCGGAGTTGAGATTGAAAATCATATCAATTTTCGCCAAATTTAATTGTTTTCATACTAAAAATGACTTTTTTTGACTTGGGAAGTTGGTGAAAATTACTGGTATTTTCCAAAAGTCAAATGTCAACTCCGAACTTTATTGATGTCTGAAATCGCTGGGTTGGAAGCCCCAACCCTAACCCTTCGACTCAAATGTTACACAAATAATCCCACCCCTGGCCACATTGAAACAGGTAAACAGGCATCAATTCTTTGATCCAGCCCGAGTCAACTACAAACATTCCGGATTGTCACGCATCAGTTTGATGAGTTACCTCATGATAGAACTAACCTTTAAATGTTTTTTGATTTATAACACCAGGTATATGATCTATAAAGCATAAATCCAGTAGATAACTTGGTACTTGTGCTGATATTGGGTACTCTAGAACACCTCTTGGAAACGATGGGTTATAAAAAGCACATTGCTATTCGATACTTTTGAATGTTAATGTTATTTATTCGAAGCTATTGAATAATGCGTTGATCGAAATTGGCTTCATCATAGTATGCGGTTAATACTGTGCGATCCAGAAACTGCCTTCCGGAAAGAGCGTGGAGAGCATTTGTTGCCTGTGTGCTTTTTTCAAATTTAACAAAGATCTAATGAAGAAATTAATCATAACTGTCAAGCAAACCTTGCCTACTGCTGCAAGTTGGGCGCCAGAAGAATCTGGGCGTGGAACCCAAATATCCAAAACCGGACCAAATTTTGAGCACTCTGACCTGATGTCTTCAGTAATTCCCAAATATTCCGCATCGCTTTCAAGATCCTCTGCAGAGACCAAGTTCATCAGCTGTAATACCGGAGTCTGCTTGCCAAAGAGCGATTCACCGCCACTAGAAATTGAAAGCAAAAGCGAGGCAGGATCAAGCGACGCTTCTTTCTGTGGATTGAGTGGAACATTACACATGGCTTTTTGGACAGTCAAGCGTTTATCGCCGACCTCGAACATGTGTAGCCCTTCTACAACAATGTCTGTAAGTTCAGAATTCAGATATTCGCAAAAAGCATATCCCTTAGAGAAGCCAGAGCCATCCCTCACAAGATTGAATGAGCGCAATTCACCGAAGGAAGTGAGAATAGCTATAACCTCTTCATTTCCAAAGTGATATGGAATGTTACCGATGAAAAGCTTGTTGGGAGAATCTGGTACAACACTAGAAATCGAGGTGGGTGGCAATGCTGATGGCTGGGACATGTGGTTACAACTCGATTCTGTCACGGCAAATTGATCGCCTAATATGCTAGCAAAAAGACATTATTACCTGCTGCTGCCTCAGAATTGTAGTCTTTTGGTCGACGTACTTTCAAAATATGACCTTCAAAAGCAATTCCATCAAATGCCAGCGCAGAGGAGGCCTCTCCAGGTGTTCGTAGCTAAACTTTAACTGGAACCTCTTACGTCAACAAAAGCATAACCTTGCCCCTCCGCCACAATAACATCTTCCACCGAGGCGCCAGGTCCAGATCCAAAGGCATATGAATCCATAAGCTCATTAAAAAACTCAGCTAGCCGTCCAGACGTGGTATATAGTGGGATTCCGCCGATCCATAAACGCCTTGCTTGTTTTGCAAGAGCCGGGTTAAGGGTTAATGCCAATGCAGCGTGATCATTAGTGGGCCCTGTAGAGTTCGAAGATCCCATCCCGCTCGATTGTTGGAAGAGGAATGTTGTCCTTGCTGGATCGACAAAGGGAGTAAGATTAGTGACCTTGGGCTGATATGTGGCAGGGATAAAAAGACCCGTGTTCTTCACCTGGGCAGCAGACATTCCCTCAAAGCCCTGGGGGCATATATCCCAACAACGAAGTTTCCGAGGCCACTGGTCGAGGGGCAGAATACCTCCAGCTGGGGAAGGTGACCGCTGATCGCGTCTCCTAGAAAATGAAAAAATAGTGATACCGTGTTGGAGGTCGCAATGTGTCTCTAGAAGAGCTGTTTGAGGGGCTGTCTCTTCGACTTGGAGAGCCATATCGTCTTCCAGATGGCCTTGGCCTCCCGTCGTCCTCTTCGCGACGCCTAGAGTCACTCCGTTCGTACACAGAGCGAGAACGATCGTTTTCTGGATATCTAGCTCGTCTATGGTGTTCATCAGAACCATCTCCGGTACGCCGATATTTTGATGATGATGCCGACGACGATGGGGCGGTGTCAACAAAATAGTCGACCGCTTCGTGCTTTCGAGGCTCTGGCATTACTGAAAATTTTAAATTAATTTAATTTAAATTAATTTTTACTTGAACTCTTTCAATTGATCTGGGTCTTCTTTATGGCATCATTAGATGAGGGGAATTGGAGGCCGTTCAGTATTGCGTGGGAGGAGGCGCACAAGTGTACGAAGCTCACCATATGCCGCAAAGCATTCCATGAAAATTTCGTCGACTTCGGAAGTAGAACTACTTGGAGAAATCCGTCTCCTAACAGGAGCATTTTCAAGAATAGCCGCAAGTATTACCATGTTTTCGTCCCATGCCTTAATAAGAGCATGAGGCAACCTTTCCAGAAAGTCTCGAAAAATAGTGGTTTTATCGCTTGGTCCAACCCTTGTACAACCATCTTTAAGAGCGGAGCCGAGCTCTCTTGAGATGCAAAGTAAAAAGACCTCAACAAACGCAAAAAACGATGGGACAAGTGGGAGCAATGTCGTTTCTACAAGGAACTTGGCCTCATTTATCAAGTACCACTCATGCCTAGGAGAATTGGGCTTTGCAGCGGTCTTTTTTTTTCGAGCAATTGCTTTTGCAGTGGAAGAGATCGAAGTGGATGATCGGCTCGATGTAGATGAGCGATTGGAGGTAAAAGACCTCGAAGAGGTCGTAGATTTCCATGATACTGTCGACACACGAGAAATCACAGAGCAGTCGTCTGCACCCGTGACGTTATTGTCATCGACATGCATGGCGAGATCAAATTCGCCAACCTGTGGCAGATTTCGATGCCTCTCAAGACCTTGGGCAACCTGATGTAGGTTACCCAGGATTCCTATGGTCAGAAGCTCTAGCAAACGAGATCCCTCACTCCTTAAAGCTGGTAAAAGATCCCCAGATACCAAGGAGGCTTCTGGCTGCCGGAGACAAAGAAGCAGCGCCAGTTCCCAGCCATGTGTCCACGGCATGGTTTTAGGGTCGAATAGCATCCCCTTGAGGCTAGACGTTATGTCAAGCGCAGAATTAGATGATGCCTGTGTGGTAGAGGTAGCCCTTTCGTTAATGGTATTGTTAGGCATGCGCTGCATGGCTGAGCAGACTGCTGCAGCCGCCTCCTCGACATTTCGGGAAGAATCGTCTTGAGATTGGCTTATCGTGGCAAGGAGAATTGAATGGGGTGACTGTTGCACCGTAGAGCCTATTGATACTTGCAGGCTAAGAGCATCTGAAGCAGACATGAGTGAGAGCGTCGTCGCGATACCAAGAAAGTCCCCCTGCGTCATAAAAATGGCTACGGCCTCTTTGAGCATCCTCGTAGCAAGGAGAGCCCGAGGAGTAGCGTATCTTTGCGCATAGCTTTGAAGGATAGCTTTTCGTAAAACAAAACTATTTTCACTCTGAAAGAGTACGGTCTCATAAAGATCGCGTTTTAAAACATATGCTACGATCTCATTAATGGCATCACAGCCCTCTGCTTCAAGAGAACCCCCAACCCTGGCCTCCTCGATAAGCCAACTTAGGGCTCTTTCTGAGCGGCCAAGACGATCGTCTATGAGAAAACGACGACGCGGTTCATTCGCACAAGTGTAACATTTTGAAATGAATCCCATAAATTCTTGGGGGTCACGATCACCCAGACCTTCTTCCCCGATGGCCTGTGCAAGCGCCAGTGAATATGTACCAAGGGCAGCAGCCATTAATGCTTCTGCTCCAGCATTTACTTTTTCACGAGAGACCAGAACCAATGCTGCACGAACAAGTAAAGTGCGCTCTTCAGAGCCAAGGTTCGCCCATTCCGCGGCGAAAAGTGCCATAGCTTCGTCGACGGTATCAGAAAGCAAATCCGCAGCTATGGCGACACGTATTGTTCCAACGTCGCACGGAAGAGCTGCAAGTACAGCTGCCTTAAGAGCATTCCGATGCTCTGCTGTTGCTGATCTATCGGCCATGATCTGTATTAATTGGTCGGGACTGAGGCTCTGAACAAGCCTGTTCAAGTGATGATGGATAGCCTGAAAGGTCCCGTGCTGATCTGCCACATGCATTTGCGCCGGAAGCGGTACAAGCTTCGCTAAAGGCAAACGATGACGCAGACCTAGCTCATATGCTGCGCGGAATTCATCACCGATTACGCAAAGGTACTCCATGTGTTCAAGAAGAAGCGTGCGCATGTAGACGCGTTCCAAAGACCCCCGATCCATCACCAGAAGGGTTACAGGGCTTGACTCGCCAACTGCGGAAATGATCGTCGATCCTGGCTCACAAGGATGGCGCTCAAGTATCTCAAGAGCTCCATCTTTATCTTCTGGAATATCACAAAGAAACAGACTGCACATCGTCTGTGAATTCTGCACAGTTACCAGAAATCGCAAAGTAAAATGTGCATCTGGTAGCCTGCTTCTTGGGAGTAATGCGATAGATGTGACATCCTGGACAGGGAGACGTCGGAGGTAGATTCCATCATTTACCAGCCAAAGCACTCCACCGCGCGTTAGTAAAAGAAGCGTGTCACTACACGAGCTGAATTGCGACTGTATAACTGCATCACCGGCATCGATTTTTGTTTTTAATAACTTCCATTGAAGGTCAAACTGACTATCGTGACATAGCAAAGAAACTTTGGCCATGGAGGCGGTAATCTTAGGAAGGAAATTGTTTTTTGACGATACATCGGTTTCCCCCGGTGCAATTACTTCCGCCTTCATAACATATTGAATAAGGGAACCATCAGCGTAGCATACCAGTAGTGTACCCTTTCCATCACAAACGTGAACAGAGGACGGTTTAGAGAGTTGTAGTGGGATTTCTACCAACTCACCACACCACTCTTTAGCCAGATCTGTTTTCTGCGAGTTAGAGTTAGGAACAAAGGTTTCCTTAGGCCTAATAAAAAACAAGACGTGGCGAATTGGTCCACCATTGTTGGGAAACATTGTGGCAAAGAGCAAAAGAACGCTTGCACTCAAAGAGATCAATTGGTGAGGGAAAAGAGTATATCCAGGGCTCAGGGTCAGGTGAAATTTGCCTGAAATCTTCATTGGCGACCCAAGCGGTGCTCCTCTTAAGGGACCTTCGTCAAAAAGTAAAAGCTCAGAGGCATCTGAAGTGAGGGCTGCTATCTGATGCCCTTGACCGATAAACGCTGTTAGGGTTATGGCACATTTGTCAGGGTGCGATGCCCGCCAACGAGATAATGGGGGAGGGACTAAACCAAGGCTGCAGGGGGTCACTCTAAGATGCTCACCAGAGGATACAATTACCATAGCATTTGGATCTGGGATTGTTATCGGTCCCGGAGCCATGTTAATGGCAAACATGTCAAGGTACACCGTTGAAGAGCTCCGCCTCACCACAACAAGAAGGTCTTCAACCTTGTCTAACCAAAACATTTTCAGCATTGTGGTGGCAGGTGGGGCTGCGAGCTCCATTTTCAAGTCAAACTGGAAACATGTGGTTGTCCAAAGCTGAATATGACCGAGAGCATATCCTAACGCCAAAATAGTATTGGTGCTGTTCCATGCTAGCGCCGACAATTGAAAAGAATCTGCTTGTGCTGGCATTTGCATTGATTTTGGGGGACAGTAGGAAAAGCCTCCATTTGCCAAGCAGTTGGGCTCCCAAATCTGAAGTGCATTTTTTGTAACAGAATGAGGTGCCAAAATTCCGAATCCATGCCCATATTGACCTTTCCAGGCCATTGGCGAGCCTGGAAGTGATACTGTAGATGCAGATTTTGCGAGAAAGGTTGCATCGCGACCATAGACACGAAGCGATCCATCTCCAAGAATTAGTGCAAATTTAGATGAATCCGGATGCCAGCGGCATGAAATTGGCTTCTCAGGCGGTGAACTCTGGCATACCGGCAAAGGGGCATTCCCAGAAGGTCCATTATTTTCCAGAATTGTGGTGGCGGTGGCCGCAGCCCTTTCTACTGCCGCCGCACCAGTTCCTCGGAACTGGGTTTTTTCTGAACCCCAACCGATACTTATTGGTTGCTTAATTGGACATTCTGACTTATTCTCATCAAGGAAGATCACAGCTATGGTGTCAAGGGTTCCAGGTGCTAAAAGAAATAATTTTTTGCCGTCCCTAGAAAAAACGGTAAATATCTCATGATCTGGCGAAGGTTGAGCTTGGGAAATTCCATCCTCAATGATTCCAACGGCGAAAGCAGAACCGTTTGCCGTGGCTGCAACGACTAGTCCAGAAGAGAAAAAGACTAACACGGACTCATCTATTGGGTCTAATATGGAATTGATCAAATCGTTTTTTTTATCACCCGTGTAAAGTTCATTTGGATTGACCAAAAAAAAATTGCCCTGCTTATCAGCATTGGAATTGCTTGGGGTTATACCTACAGATCTCTCGTCGTATGAACAAATAAAAAGAGATACGGCTTTGGATGACTTTGATTGTGATGAAATCACAAATCTTCTTTTAAAGCTCGATGAAATTACAAATCGAAAATCGTCGGGAGTGTCAGAATTCCTGAGAACCTCAACTCTGGATACAAGCGAGAGCAATAGGGACTTCATTTGAAATAAAATAAAATTTTATTCACATTTTAAATCTGACAAGCCTTCTCCACAAGGGGTTATGGCAATTTTATTTAATCTTCAATTATGGAAAGCGAAATCTTATTGGAGGATCTAGCTTCTGATCAGAACAGCTCCAATGGCCGATTGGTTCAATGCACATCTCCTATCAGATGTGAATCTTGTTAAATTTTACTAATCCAAAAGGTAAACTTTTCCTTCTAAAATAATCCCCTTCCTTTTCCACTTACTGCTGTTTATTGCCCAGAATCGCCCCTCCTAACGGTTTACTTGAAAGAATCAATGATAGAAATAGCTCACTGTACAAAGTAACGTTGTTACCCATAAAAAAGTCAACTTTTCTGACAAAACCGAGATCTGAAATCTCACTTGGGGTTTTCTTTATGAAAACAATCAAATTGAGTTTTTCAAAAACCAAGATTTTGTCTTAGGGTACAATTTAAGCCACATATTTTTCATATGCCTAAAAGCTAGTAGCAAAATGCTATACACGGAGCCTTCCATGATACCTTGACGATAAAACAAGGCTGCAAAACAAATTAAAGTTCAAGTCCGATTGTTTGATCCTTCGTGATACATCGCATCTGATTCAGGTATGAAGCTTGAGGGACCAAAGACCTTCAAGCTAACAAAAATTAAACAACACAATGGCAAATTTTATGTGGAGGTCTTAGCATCATCTCCACCCGATCGATCTTTGTCTGCTGCCAAGAAAGCACCCCGAAAGTTCTTTGTTGACGGATTATTTTTCCATATAATCTGCATATTTAAAAGCCAAATAAGCCAAGTTGGAAATTAAAACCTTCTTTGAGAATAACTTGTCCATCTCAATCGATGGTAAACTCGTGTCAAAGTGCTAAAAGTATCCTCCTAATCTGAATGCTCTCACCATTAATAACGTCTATGCGCGGCAAACATATACACAATATAGATAATACATAATGCAGTCAAAAGAGACACATTCTTTAAAACGAGCAGGTTCTGTAACAAAAACAGCAGTAAGACTATCCATTCGGTTAACTTGGCCACCAAAAATGGGTTTCTAAGCATTCACCGTTACTTAAACTTAGAGCTGCATATCTTCTGGATGATCTGACAATTAAACCCTCTATTTTTGCATTCGATAATAGCGGTATCGCTTCTAAAAATGGTATTCTCATTTCCGCTTCCCATAGCCCTAACCCTAAGCAATTCAATAGATAAATAAACAATTTATTATAAAAACAGACTCTGTATGTGTCCGCGCCCTTTCTGTGTAACTCTATCTTGCCACAAATTTCAAACCTCGACCATTTTGGGTTAGGCTTAGAGAACACATGGGGTCACAAATGGGTAAAATTTTGCACTTCATGCGTAACGTGGCTAGTGTTCTTCTTCATTAGCCCTTGCGTTTGCAAACGGACGACAACTGCCACATTGGATCGTGGGATTTGGGCTGTTATGATTGATCAACTATACGGCGATTGGCCACTATTCAAATGGGCACCTATTCTGATATCCAGTTTCTAAATTTGATTGGTAAAACTAATTGACGAACAACAATTGGTCCAGTAAAAACGGGGTTCTGTTATTGGACTTTTTAATGGCCTATTAAACGGAAATTGCAGGCATATATTAGCTCTGACTATCTTTAATAGTCAATGCTTCGCTATACCATACTTCATGTTCTGCTTTTCTCGGTTTTCTTAACCCTTGTTTGTTCAGAGTCTGAATTATTTTATTTAAAAAATAAAATCTCTGGGAATGTTATCAAGCTCAAGGGATCTAGTATTGAGGCCGGAAAGGAGGCAGAGGTTGGCGAGAAAAAAGAAACCGATCCAACTCAAAAATTTATTATTAAAGATAATATGATTTTGTTTGAAGCCAATAAGAATTATGGCTTGGGCTTTTCCTCTGAAGGAACAATTAAATGTTATGATGTCGAATCTCTTGGAAAAAAAAAGGATCTTCCTAAGAATCTTGGTACTGACAAGCAATTAAAAGCCCAATTTAAGTTTGACGATGGTAATATCGTGTTTTTGAAGGATGGAAACCTTGGTTTCATCGTTGAAGGTGATCAACTTAAGATCGGCAAAGTTACTAAAGATCCCAAGAATAAGTTTATTCAAGAATATATGCAATCAGGATGTAGCAAATCTTCTGCTAAACCTGGTGGTCAAAACGAATTTACCCCCCCCCCATTATCGCTCCTGGTCACCCCTCCGAAAAAATTGAAGAGACCTTTTTAGTAGACAAAGATGTTCTCTATGTGATTGGTATTCTTGAAGATGGTGATAAAGAACCCAWAAAGTTTCTCAAAACCACTGGTACAACAAATTCAAAACCTGTAAAATCGACACCCTCGCTGAGTGAGGCAACTCGCTTTAGGGTAACCGAATTAGAAAAGGGCATTTTCTACATCTGTACCGAAGCCGGTGACTGCATGGCAAGATGTAACAGTTGCCCTGGTGACGATAACAATTCGGAAAGAAATATTATTAGATGTCATCATAGATCCCCGATCAAAAAAGATAAAGGATTCGGCTTGTGGGGAATTCGAAATGCGATACAAATTACCAAGGAACAAAAACAAGCAGGGCCCAATGCGTCAGGCTGTGAAACAGTTTATCCTGCTGGAACCACAGAGCGGCCTGACAGCACTATAACAAAGACACCTCCATTTAGTATGAAAATCTTTGACAATCCTATGGGTTTAAGACTTAATAATGATGGTATCTTGAGTTTTGGCAACACTCCCTCTGAGGACAAAATTTTTGTTTTAATTCCGCAAAAATAAGCATAAATTTTAAAATAAATTTTATTTTAAAAAGCCTTCATGAATGTTTTAACA